TGATAACCATGAATGAGGTCTCCCCTCAGTCTCCTCTTCTGCAAACTAAAGAGCCCCAGCTCCCTCAGCCGCTCCTCAGAAGGGAGATGCTCCACTCCCTTGATCATCTTTGTAGCCCTACGCTGGACTCTCTCCAGCAGTTCCTGTCCTTCTTGAACTGAGGGCCCAGAACTGGACACAATATTCCAGATTCCTCGATCAGCCGTGCCAAGTCCTCTCGCGACAGCTGCCGCATCGTTAGGGAAGTTGATTTAGAGACATTCATTGGGTCGTGGTCACTGGGACCTCTCCTTTCCTTGTAAGTGAGGATTCTGGAACGGCGCTTGGAGAGGATCAGGCGGTTTTAGAACCTAAGCAAACTGCTCCAAATGAAGGCAAACGTGGTCTGGTTTTGTTTCCTGTGACCGTCCCTGGTGACAAGGTACCACGCACTGTTATCACTCTGCACTGCTGCTGGCTTTGTCTTCCTGTCCTTGACATCTGCTGATGCCTCCTCGTTGGTCATAGCAGCGTTTGGTGCCAGCTTAGCTCATGGCCAAGCCTGGCTGGAAAAAGGTCCTGGTTTGGCAGAATGTCCGAGCCCTGCAGTGTTTCACATTGGGGAGGTGAAACCCAATTTGTGGCCCTGAGTAGATGGACTTTGCGTGCTGGGTTTAAGTTGTGAGGAAAAGAGAGTCTGGGAAAATGTGTCACCCTTGTCTTTTGTGTCTTACAGACTTCTGGGACACAGCGGGACAGGAGAGGTTCCAGAGCATGCACGCGTCCTACTACCACAAGGCTCACGCGTGTATCATGGTAAGGGCCGTGTCTCCGCTGTGACCTGATGCAGTTTTGGCTGATCACCCTCCCAGGCGACTCTTGGCCCGAATGTGATCACACTGCCTCCTATTTCTCCAGGGAACTGTTGGAGAGAGTCCAGCGTAGGGCTACAAAGATGATGGAGGGAGTGGAGCATCTCCCTTCTGAGGAGCGGCTGAGGGAGCTGGGGCTCTTTAGTTTGCAGAAGAGGAGTAGCCGAGCCTGGCTAGAAGAAGGTCCTGGTTTGGCAGAATGTCCTAGCCCTGCAATGTTTCAGACTGGGGAGGTGAAACCCAATTTGTGGCCCTGAGTAGATGCACTTTGCGTGCTGGGATTAAGTTGTGAGGAAAAGAGAGTCTGGGAAACTGTGTCACCCCAAGCTTGTTGTTTTGTGTCTGACAGACTTGTGGGACACAGCGGGACAGGAGAGGTTCCAGAGCATGCACGCGTCCTACTGCCACAAGGCTGACGCGTGTATCCTGGTGAGGGCGGTGTCTCAGCTGTGACCTGGTGCAGTTTTGGCTGATCACCCTCCCAGGCGACACTTGGCCCGAATGCCACCTTTTGTGATTACGCTGCCTCCTATTTCTTGTCTCTTCCAGTGGCTTAAAAACTGCCCCATGCTGTTCTTTCTTCTCTCACCAGATGAAGCCAGTGTAGCTGGGTATGTTTAGCTCTCTCTTGTGGCAGTGCTTTGACTGTATTCCCAGAATTTGCCATCTTCTAAGTTTCCTTCCTTCTGTCACTGCGTGGCACCCGTCAGGGGGAACACACAACCGGGTGTTCCTGGGTGGAAGCAGCCCTTTTGGAGGCGATGCGAGGGAGAGGGCGCTCCTCTCCTGTCCTGCGAGGTGACATCTGGATGATGCAGTGCAAGGCTAGGAGGATAGAACAAGGGGAAACGGCACCAAGCTGTGCCAAGGGAGGTTCAGGTTAGAGATAAGGAGGAAGTTCTTTCATGAGAGGGTCGTCAGAAGCTGGCACAGGCTGCCCAGGGAGGTGGTGGAGTCACCATCCCTGGATGTATTTAGGGTAGATGAGGTACTTAGGGATATGGTTTAGGGGGTAGACAGGAGCGGTTGGACGTGATGATCTCAGAGGGCTTTTCCAACCGAGCCATTCTGTGACTCTATGATTCTGTGGAGGCTGCTCTGAGGTGTCTGGCAGGGGTGCTACATGAGGCGTTCTCTGCCCTTCTGCCCTTTCTGTTTTCCCACACGTTGCGCTTCCCGTTTCTTAGCTCAACTCAGTCTTGTGTCCTGCCTCATAACCCGCTGAAGTCTCTTGGTTTGTGCCGTTGCTCTGACTTTCCACGGTTCCTCATCGCTTGCGAGCATCAGTCACCTTCGCTGCTGTTTGAGCGGTGAAAATGGAGAGGCCTCACATGTGACCCGACTTAGCGGAACAGCTCTTGCGCGGTGCTTGTTCACTGTCACGGGTGATAGGGTGTTTGTCCCAGCGCAAAACGAGAACGGGAAGAAAAAGAAGGGACAGTTTCCTGCATGGTGCAAAGAAACGGGCTGGCTGCCCATTTCCAGGCGTGCTGGGTGCTCTCCCTTTTCTCTTTCGTCCTCTCTGACAAAAGCCGATTTCCTTTGCTGCTGTGCTCCTGGGGAGATCCTGCATTCTGTACCTGTGCTTGGTGCAGGGGTGGGTCGGGAGCTGTCCTGTCCTGTCCTGTCCCGTGTCAGCTCGCTCTGTTTTGGAAGGTGTTCGACGTGCAGCGGAAAGTCACCTACAAGAACCTGAGCAGCTGGTACGCGGAGCTGAGGGAATACCGCCCAGAGGTTCCCTGCATTGTGGTGGCCAACAAGATCGATGGTGAGTGCGTCTCCTCCTGGCAGCCTCTCAGGACTGGGACGTGGTTCTCTTCTGGCCTGCGTGTCATTCCCCTGTTAGGGCTTTTAAATCCCCATAGCTTTTGTGGAGGATGCTCCTGTCCTCGTACTGCAGCGAGGAGGCTCTGCCAGCTCAGTGGGGCTCTGGCCTCCATCTGCTCCTCCACTCCTGCGTACGTCGGCGTTGTGCCCGCAGCCACGTCTCACTGGCCGCTTCTCTTTGCTTTGCCCCCAGCGGACGTGAAGGTGACCCAGAAAAGCTTCAACTTTGCCCGGAAGTTCAGTTTGCCCTTTTACTTCGTGTCTGCTGCAGATGGCACCAACGTGGTGAAGGTAAAACACAGCTATTTGGCTCAGCACCCATGAGACCCCTCTCTGTGTAGGCACAGAGAGCAGAAAGTGGGCTAGCGTGTCTGTTTGGCCACCTGTGAGGCCCTGGTGGCTGCGGGTAGTTGCAGAGGTTGGTGGGGTTTGTTTCTTGGGGTGTGGGAGCAGCGTCCATAAGTTCCTTCGAGTGACGAGCATTCTCCTCCTCAGCTCTTCAACGATGCCATCAAGCTGGCAGTGGCTTACAAGCAGAATTCAGGAGATTTCATGGACGAGGTCATGCGAGAACTGGAGGTAGGAAAGGTTCCAGTCCCTGAGGGAAAGCAGAGCCTGTGGCACATGAGGTGGTGACCCTCAGGTGACCGCACTGCTCCCGACCAAATCTGAAGGAACCACAGCAGAGGGTCGCTGCTGCTCTCGTGCGTCTCAGCGGTTCCTTGTCCTGCTCCTTTCCAGAGCTTCGACCTGCAGAAGAAGAGTGAGAATTTGTCGGATAACGACGAGAGCTGCCCTGAAGAGAAGTCCCCGTCTGCCTAAGCCCCGGACAGACCCTGACTCTTTTTCCCTTGGCTCTAGATTTCTGGGGCTAGTTAGAGTGGCCTTCGCAGAGCACACTGATTTTTCTCAAGCCCTGAGAGCTCTGGTGATGGGCAGCTGGG